AATTAGATATTGCAAAGACATTTGATTCACAATACAATCAGCGAATCGTGACCACTGATAAAATAAGCCAAGCTTTGTGTGTTATTCATCTTGCTAACAGCTGCCTTATTAACTCTCTTAAACGGGGTTGCGAATTTTTAGGTTATAGGATTCGTTTCTTCCATATCGGGGAATGCAACGAAATACATATAGACTGGACAAAATACATATATATGCTAGACTATGAAACGCTGTTTTGATTGATTTACCTATAGTATATGTAAAATATATTTATGTTGAGAGATTTGGATAAGTTCTATGTTATATTTTATGTGAAATTTAAGAATTCGCTCCAACTTTCCTAGAAAATTGATTTAGACTGATAATAAAATAATTTGGTTTGCAATGACGAGCATTTTATCTGCTTTAGGTGTGAAATCCAATCTCACCTTTGTACAAATTTGTAGAATGTATGTATAAAAGGTTTAAACACAACTAAACATTTCTGTTAAGAAGTAAATTAGATCAGATTTTGAAAAGTTTAGGAACTATGTCACCACGTTACTGCATCCTTTGAGGATTAGTGTGACAAATCCATTTTAGTTCGCATAGCAGTTAAAAATGATATTATGTCCTTTGGGGGAATGTTGTCTAATGCTATTATAAGTGCATAGGCAGTGAAGATTTTACGAATAAACTACTAGTTATTGACTCTGGGCCTCCAGTAAACTGTGGATACCGTGAAGTTTGTTTCTATAAGCAAAAGTGACTCTCTGCAGTCATTGGTATAAACGCCATCTTGTCTTTTAGAAACCCAATGGGATTAGTGTGGCTTTTCGAGATAACTCTGAGGATTTTAGCGCTATTGCTTAAGTGTTGAATCTCAGAGCAGAAGCTTCCCCATGATACTTGTTTTGTACTTCTGATTTCCTTATTGTAGGCGGTGAGGGCGGTGTTATAATATATTTTTAGTATTGTTAAAAACTCTCCGGAACTCAATTCTAAGCATAGCTGCGAAACGTTCAGTGGTACCACAGCGGAGGGGGGAAACAAAGGTGATGCTCACATATGTCGAGGGCATTTCTCCACCCTGAAACACTTTTAGAATGACATCCGGGAATGGCTAAAGCTTTGGGACACAATTTTTCAGCCAATTTTGCATTTTGCCATTGCAGCAGGTTAATAAGAGCCATCTATCTACTTTTGTTTAGGAATTTCAATTTCCTTTTGAAATTAGCGTAGCTTTGATTTTATTAGCTCCATTTGATCATCAGTAAGATGTACCTCTGAATACTTTTTATGGGCAATAGCCGCTTTGCAGGCGGTGGTACGGTCCCTGTAAGATGGAGTCAGGATCTGCTGGTGTTCGATCGAGCTGGTCGACCGGCTTTTGGCATTTTGAGCTGAGGGCGTTGTGCTTCTTTGGAAAATGTGTTATTTGACCTGCATCTTTTGCTAGTGCTGGATCTGTCGCTTTCTCCTTCGGCCGCCAGGGAGACCTTCTTATGACCTGATTTCTTTTCTTCTGATTTTTGTAAGCTTGATATCACAATGTAACTGTCAATTTCACTATCAACATTTGACATGCTAATCTGATTCAGACGCTGAGTTAGCTCCACCAATGTTTTCGTGGTTCTTAGAATTCTTGACTCTGCCGCATGAGAGGTGGTAAATTAACAATAAGTAAATTTAAAACAATTAGCAAAAAACAAAGTTGCTATGAACTAAATTAATAAAATATATTTTGGACATAATTTTTAACATATTCCGCTTTGAATTTTGTAATTCAATTTATTATGGTGATATTATACAATATGTTGTTGTAATATCAAAAGTTGACCTCGGTCTTCTTAGCTTCTGAAACATTTGTATATTTGGTTGATCTGTACGAATTTATTTATCTTTAAGACAATGATTCCAATAATTAAAAACAAGACTGCGTTCACTACTGATCAACTATGCTTCTCAGTTCAAGTTTGTGATTGGGTCGCTTTAAAAGGTCTTTTTTATTATTCACCCCAAATGCCAATTGCAGAGATTATACACTATCTTCTTTAAAAATGACCAGCGTATTTCTTCATTATTTTTAATTCCAATTCTCCAATTTCTTAGAGTTAAGGGCTGTAGTATTATTGTTTAGACTAGTTCGCCTTGCGAGATTTACGAATAGCAGCATTACAGTATACCATATAATAGTATTCTGAATGAATTTTTGAGATTTATTTTGGCGGATCTAATTAATGTCATAATCATTTGAGATTAATGGTACTTCCTTTGTAGTTTGTTTACACTCAGGATTTACCGGATTAATACAGAGGTACTTGTTGAATGCGCCTGACCACTTAGAAAGAACCACGTAGAAAAAGTGGACTATATAACCATAAGTTAATTGAGATGGTTTTATGACGCGTGATAATGAGTCAGCTGTATTGTCCCTGATGCCTCTGCTAATTCAAGCTAATATCCTGGATTGTATTGATTCAAAGAAACGTTGTTGCTACATGATTCAGATTGTTTTTGTCCTTTTTTATCAGTGTTGCTCCTAAAAGGGCTGAACACAGTTCTAACAGGAGACTCAAAGCATAGCAGTGAATTTATTAGTCAACCATTCATTAATTTTACTTGAACGCAAACGCGGCTCGGGTTGTAATATTTAATTCTGTTAGTTTTTAAAACTGTATAAGTTCAGATTAAACTTTAGATGCATTTCCATGTCTTGGAGTTTTTGGTTAATTTCGAATTATAATTCCCAAGAGTATCTCTCAATGGTTTCTACTGAAAAAAAATTACATACTTTTGTGTTGTTATCATTTAATGATTTGCAACCATTTTCCATCAAAGCAAGGTTGCAAGTATAAAACACTTCAGATTAGAGTTCTTGGCTTGCTACTTCAATATTTTGACTGTTTTTTTTAATGATATTTATGAGTGTTCGTTGATTGCGCAATACTCTTGATGAGTCTTTATCGCGCCGAAGTTACTTTGATTAAACAGTTTTTAGGTCCTGAATTTTACCTTCAGTTAATGCCCTGTTATATATATCTAGGCATATGTTTGCCAGCATAGTTATCCTTTCAAAGTATTCCTTTACGAAATAGTAGTCATCTTTATTTTCAGTATTGACTTTACGTGATAGTATGGTTATTGTCTAATCTCGTCTATTGTTCAGATAGCCTTTGAATTCTGTCTTTGAAATACCGATCAGCCTTTCTGACTACTGTCACTGGCTCCAATCACTTGTTGTTGGGTAATCATTGTATCAAATTCCTTCATGAAGATAAAATTTTTAAATAAGTTTATCAATTCGGGGTCACAAAAATGTTAAATATGCATTTATCCTTAATTTTCTACTAATATAAATGTTAATGTTTATACTGAAACTCCTCCAAGCACTTGTAACTTGTTGGAAGGTATGATTGTGTTTTTTTATAATGTGCAATCTACTTGTGTAATCAAATGCTTATTTCATTTTTTACTTATCTATATATACAGTTTTTCTCTTATAATTATTGCTTACAAGCTTCTTACTAAAATAAACATTTACGCCATAATTCTAAAGAAAAGACAAACGTGCAATAATTTTGTGACCTACTTAATTTTATATAATTTTTTGTTTATTAGCAATATATTGCACGTGTGCCCTGCTTTAGCATAATAAATTAACAATAAATAAATTAAAAATAATCAGAAAAAATCAATTAAAGTGGCATTGAACTAAATTATAAATTATATCTTAGACATAATACATACCAACTTAATACAACGTCTAAGTCCGACACCCTTTCACAAAATTCTTGTCATCAGATGCTTCCTATTTAAATAATTGGGATTTTTTTTATATAGCTTCATATATCAGATTCAGAATTAGCTAAAGTTTGGTTAAATATCTATATGAACATTGTAAGGCTCTGATTTTGTCTGATTTCTGCTTGATATATCTTACAATAAATGGCATTCTGTGTGATACCATAATTATGTCAAGTTTCCGGAAAATGTCTATCCCAACTTCGTAATATATTATGAAACCATTTATGTAGACATTATATTATTGATGGAGATAGTGAGATCTATTTTGACACTCTTTATTGGACAATCATTGAATTGAGAACGCTAGATTACTCTTGGTGGGGTTCCCATTTTTCATTATACTCGGAAACATATTCACTTCCATTATGGATATCTGTGATGTTGCAGACAGTGTGATGGGCATATAGAATTTACTTTCCGATATTTATTTAGGTTCTATAATTACAATTCTCCAGTCGACTAAGAGCATGAAGTCGTTAGTAGGTTTTTTACTGATAACAATCTGTGCTTAAACTTCCCAAAAGTTTTTTTAGTTTCGGTATCATTTAGAATTTTATGCCCTCTTTTACGACGACCCTATTGAAAAAAATGAGTATTTTTGATTTAGTAAGATTTTGTTAGCCTGCTTTTCGGACAGTTTGAAATTCGTCTGAAATTGGAAGAACTTAATCGAGAGAAAATAAAAGTTTTAGGAGATTAGTTGTGCTTTATAAAGGAATCTTATAGTCTTTTTATAAACGCTAAAAATACGTTATTCAACTTAAACATTTTGTACTTACAATAACACAATATTGCATGATGCCACTATACCAGATTGAAGATTACTTTAGCTACAAAAATTTACGATAAATATTATCATATAGAACTATAAACATTTTAACAATGAAAAGTGCTGACGCCATATGTGGTCCACCACCTTGGATGTGATTAAAAAGTTCATATATAAACTTCCATGGTTCTTGATATGTTAGATTTTGTTTATATTTATTATATTACATTTAATTTCTTTATATCTTCTTATTAAAACTGCATAAACGCGTTCAATTTATATATAAAAGTTATATAATATAAAAAATATCTTGACCAACGTAATATGTCAGCATATATTTAACATTAATTTTGTATTAATTCCGTATGATTACGAAGAAAATACAATATTGTATAGTTCGAATAGTATATATTTATATAAATGATAAAAAAAAATTTTTTTGCAGATGTCAAGCGGGTACAGGAAGATGCATTGTTGATAAGGCACACCGGAACCAATGCCAGGCTTGCCGCTTAAAAAAGTGTCTACAAATGGGAATGAACAAAGACGGTATATCAACATAACTAATATAATTACTTATAATTATTTTTGTTTATTTTTACTTATTTTTATTTATTTTTTGTTATATTGATTTCGTTAAATTTTCTTATTAATCTTATGCGAGCTTTACAGTTTTAAAAAGTATGCTAAACCCTATCTATATAATGTGTATTTGGCCTTTAATTGTTTACAGCGTCGATGTATTTAAGGGATTTTCATTGTGGTCCTTAGTTGAATATGTATTATGATGGTATATATTTAACTTTTCATTTCATTACTTTGTGAGGTCCGTTGTAAAGTGTCTTTATTAGTAAATTACTTGGTCAACAAGAAAATAATGGTATGTAGAGCTTCCGGGATATATAAAAATTAGCATGTGGTTTTGCGCTAATATTAGTTTACTGTGCTGATCAATTCATGTAGTCTACAACCAAATTCTGAGGCAGTACCCTCGTTAAATGTTGGACTTATGATACTAAAAACGCTAATATTATTAAGTAATATTTCTAGCTCATATTATTATTTTGATTATACATACGGTATATTAATTTCAGTTTTAAGATCAGACTTTGATTACAGCTTTTTAATTTTAATTTGAGTTTCTCGATATTTTCGTCGGGATTCATAGGCGTTTGCAAAGTTTTCACTTGATTCGTTTTCGACATTCATGCACGTCATGCATTTCTGATGGAAAAAATATCTAATATTTGTCATAGGTGCGCATTGACCAATAGCTTGTTAAACCGAGTTTTGGCAATTCGATTTTAGCACTTCCTAGTAGAGTTTTGTTCCCAATAAATTGTAGTTTGTTCACATTTGTTTCTAATTTCATAGCCTGTCGAAATTCCTCGTTTATGTTTTAAACCTCTTGAAAATTATTATTGATATATTTTTAAGCTCATTTAAATAAGATCATTATTTATTCTACCGCTGAGGACGGTTCTTCTTGTAGCCTGATTAGTTCATACCTTTAATTAGATGTATAATAATTAGACATCAGAATTCTATAAAATTGCATATTTGTATTTTCCATCGTAGTAATGTCGAATCTGGACACAAATATGTTTAATAATGTGTAAGCATATTTTAATATTTGCATATGTTTTGCATATCTTCAGCATTTTTGCATCTTGATAGATATACAATGCATACATACATATTGTATTATGCCAATTATGCAACTGTTCCTTGGGTGCTCCTTCCCCGGTTTCTGAGTATACTTACCATATATATTGTTGATGATGTATATGGTTTCTAACAATATATTGTATATTTAATGATTTGATGTTCTGTAATTCTCCATTTCAAAGGCTACATTTAACTGATAGTTTTAATATTATATATTCAAAACATTTTATTCTGTATTATTTTCAAAATATAAGCCGTATATTTGATTTGAATTTTGCTAAAAAAATACCTAAGAACGTACTTTTTTCGAATTAATTGCTTTCATATTTACTGTATATTTTTTGCCTGTACATTTTGCATGTACAATTGCGCAAGACTCGAAACAAGGCTGTGGAACACTGTTAGACACAGTTTTCAAAGTTATGGAATCTTCTTCTTCTTATTTGGCACTACAGTCCAGTGTGAACCTTAGCTTGATTCTTTTTTAAAGAAGTTGCGGAGCGGGTAAAGAAGATTTCGATGCATGGTTATTGACCTTGTGATCAACCCGCAACCTATAAGACCAGATACTGTGCAAATCTGGAGATAAAACTGGTGTTTGGTAGCTAGAGAGTATCTCCTATGCTAAGTGTTATCAGATAATACTCCTGAATAAGTGTTAAAAAACCCATAGCAAAAACTTACGAAGCGAGCATTTTGTGTTACATAAACATTTTCCGCAAATCGTGATACAAACTGTATAATTTAATCGGGAATGCACGCTTCTAATAGTGATAGATGATGCTTTCCTCATGATATACAAAATATAATTTGAATTACAATTTATATATCAGCAACAATTTTTTCACAACAAAAAAAAAAAAAGAAAATTCGAACATCGTCGAACTATCCTAAAGGTTTGTAATGCGATTTTAAGGATTAGCGGTTAATGAATCGTCTCAATGCTGACAGGGCAACAATAAAAAATAATGTTTTCATAGTATTACAAATATTTATATGACGATGTAGTAAATTGTATAATTTTTAATTAGAATATCTACACCAAACAACGAAACCCATTAAAAAATTATACCAAATAACATAAATTAATTAAGTGTAATTTGTATATTACTTGCAAAGTAAGAGACGTTCTTCCAATTTTTTATGTACATATATATATCTAAGCGTACAAATATAGAAGTACTATATTTCATCGGAAAAGTACAAATAGTTATTAAACTTGTACTAAAAACGACAATTTTCATACAAATGTACATTAGTTTATAAAATAATTGCTTATAGTGTATAAATAATTATAAAAATGTTAATCCAGAGTTAATCTAGAAAGTTTATTAGGGCGATGGTGGATAACAATAATACAAAATAGATATTAACTGCGGTTCAGTAGATATCCATTTTAATTTTTGTGATCTAATAACTTTTCTCGTAAGGCTTTTAAAAATTAATGGAAAAACCTATGTAAGAGGAATAGTTTTATTATTATCTCAACTTTTTGATCTTGGTTCCTCCATTTGAACTACACACCTTGACATTGTTTTAAATTAGTTTTCAAAACCAAAATTTGCTAAGTAATTGTTTATAATATCTTTGTAAACACGTGACTTTAAACACATGCTGCGATTTACACACAACGATGCATTTGTCCTATTGTTGTCGAGAACGTAACACTTTTATAATTGTTTTATATGAAGTACTTTTTTGGTTTTCAAACGAATAATAAAAACTCATCACATTATTTAACACCTTATTTAAATTACTACTTTCAATAAAAGTATTTCATGCAACAATATTATTAATAATGTTTAGCTGTACAAAACGAACGCCAGCCGCGTAATACGGCGACAATAAGGCCTGAAACTCTGCGGGATATGGAGCATGGGCGAGCGTTACGAGAAGCAGCGGTGGCTGTTGGTGTGTTTGGGTAAGTTTGCAAACGTGTCTATCGTATCTAAATGTACATTCATTTAATCAATAATTACAGACCTCCCATACTTCTATCACCAACATGCTACGCTCCTGGCTTACTTCCAACATCAAGTAATACAATTAAATTTATTTTTTTTTATGTATTAATACATTTATTTTAGATCTGACAAACTTACCTTCAATACGTTTGTTACAGCAAAGCCATTTAGCCTCTTCCATGCAACTTTCTTCAACGTTCAAGCATTCCGATATAAGTAAGCCAAATAACGCTCTAATGCTTACAAGTGATAGTACAAATAAGTCAAATTTAGAACTCTCAAGCAGCACAGTATCTACTTCCACTAATTCTAGCTCTAACAATTCAATCGATCCAATTTCCTTGATCCAAGCTGGTAAGCAATATTTTTATCAACGGTTACTATTATATTGTAAGAGAAAGTAATAAAATTTATATTATTACACATTTCATATATAACTCAAACGTGTTTGTCAATTTGTTTATAACGCAATGGAGAATAAAATAGGACACATCTAACCCATTCACATTAACACTCTTTTAATAGAATATTATTTTAATGTTTAATTGATTTTCTTTGGAAAATAGGTCACACTTATTTAAGTATTGTATTTTGTTTTGTACAGCTCTTAATTGTTAATAATTTTAGGAGCGAAAACTTTTATTTAATTACAATTAATTCAGCAACCAATTGTTCTACTTGTGGTTCCAGGTGTGGTGAAATTCATCACTTTTTCGTCTTACTAAAATAAATCTTCTTCTTTCATGAATCTTCTTAAAACAACGAAAAATATTCTAAAAATAAAATTGTTTAAACGAAGAAATCATAATAAGTCATATAATTAACAACACACATTGTTAAATAACAACCGTACGTTTATATAAAATAAATTATAACTAAATATCTTATGTGGAGGTTTTCCCTAATTAGTGCAACTGGACACTTTTACTCTTTCTCTAGCTGGGGGGTTTCTATAGAGTTCCATCCTTCTCTTTGACTAATTTATGTATTCCTAACAATCTTCGCTGATTATTCAATGTTTGATCTAAGACCTGCATACCGTCCCTTACGGCTAGTGACTGCTCTAAGATTAGATAGTGCTATATAGGGCAGCCTGTCAGTTTTTGCGTATAGGTTCAGCGCTTTGTCATTCGTGTGGATGTACCATGACACTTTATAGAGGCTTCGGAAAGCCTAACTTTGAGCAACTTGTGACCTTTGGATATTAGAGTTGGCAACTTTACTAATTAGTAACTTATTGTTACTCCTAAAAAAATCCTACGGAAAGGATCTAATTTTAACTTATTTTAAATTAACTTGAAGTATTGATATACTTACAGATTCGGTATAATTCATTGACAAATAGAAACGTTTATTATCTTATGGCGGTATACTATGGGAAGTACATATGTATTATATTGGTATTTAAGTTTGGTGATTATTATTTATAAAGCGTCTTCTTTACTTTCGACCATTTACTTTATTGGGGCCCTAATGTCTGCTAATGTGTTTCAGTTATCTGGACGACTTTAAAAGGATATATTATGTGAGACTGTAATAAGACTCATATAACATTAAATTATAAATCAGTTTTCAAATAATTAATTGAATTATAGGAAGTCTTTACAAAATTTTATAATTGCAAACTTTTAATATAACATAAACACGACCTAAGCCTTACAAGGAAGTTGTTTTAGTCCTTGTTAAATTTTCATATGCATCAAATTTATAGGTTAGAAATCTAAATGGAAGCAAAATATTGACTAACAAACACATTTAATTTTACATACCAAAATTTCCATTTGTTTTTAATATCGTTCTTATTAATTTCAATTTTACTTTACGGTAAAAAGTAAAATCATTATAACATAAGCTTATGATTTATTTTCCTTACTTTAAATTAATAAGTTTAAATAAAGAATTTATTTTCTAATTTTAGATTCAAATGAAAATCAAATCTCTGGAAGCATATCATCAATCAGCTCATCGAGTTTTTTTCAAGGGAATGATAATGATGGTAAGTTCTTTAGAAATAATTTTTTTTGAAAGTTTAATTTCAATAACATAAAACTAAAATACTTCACAAATAAGTATTAGTATTAGTATTAGTATTAGTATTAGTATTAGTATTAGTATTAGTATTAGTATTAGTATTAGTATTAGTATTAGTATTAGTATTAGTATTAGTATTAGTATTAGTATTAGTATTAGTATTAGTATTCGTATTCGTATTAGTATTAGTATTAGTATTAGTATTAGTATTAGTATTAGTATTAGTATTAGTATTAGTATTAGTATTAGTATTAGTATTAGTATTAGTATTAGTATTAGTATTAGTATTAGTATTAGTATTAGTATTAGTATTAGTATTAGTATTAGTATTAGTATAATATTAGTATTAGTATTAGTATTAGTATTAGTATTATTATTAGTATAAGTATTAGTATTAGTATTAGTATTAGTATTAGTATTAGTATTAGTATTAGTATTAGTATTAGTATTAGTATTAGTATTAGTATTAGTATTAGTATTAGTATTAGTATTAGTATTAGTATTAGTATTAGTATTAGTATTAGTATTAGTATTAGTATTATTATTAGTATTAGTATTAGTATTAGTATTAGTATTGGTATTAGTATTAGTATTAGTATTAGTATTAGTATTAGTATTAGTATTAGTATTAGTATTAGTATTAGTATTAGTATTAGTATTAGTATTAGTATTAGTATTAGTATTAGTATTAGTATTGGTATTAGTATTAGTATTAGTATTAGTATTGGTATTAGTATTAGTATTAGTATTAGTATTAGTATTAGTATTAGTATTAGTATAAACTAGCCGATAAGAATTTTGCCTAAAACCACATTTCTAAAGTAAAGTTGTTCTGATTTATAAGCACTTTTTTAGTAAAATATGTCGAAAAGAACTACATACATGACATCATATGTCTAGTATAGGTTTTAACATTTTACTGTATGGTTCGTTTAACAACCGCCAAACATGTTGATATTGTACTTAGATTTCTAAAAATATGAGGTAGATCAAACAGGCTTGTGTTTATAAAAAAGTAAAAAACCAGAAACTTAAATATTGCATTGAGAACGTTAGTTCACATTATATTATATGTAGTTATATATGTGAAATTTATTTAGAGTTTAATGAAGCTAAACTTTCTTTAAACCTTCATTTTTTATAGGAAGTATTTATTATTTCTCATTAAACAAATTGATTTCATTTTATTCTACACTTTTAGATGATTCCATCGATGTAACAAACGATGAAGAAGCTTTTACAATAACCGAAAAAGGGATAACTCAATTTTGTAAGCCGCAATTCATGTCGTCCAACGTATGTGTTCATCCACAAGAAACTGTATACGAAACTAGTGCCCGACTTTTATTTATGGCTGTTAAATGGGCGAAAAATTTGCCTAGTTTTTCCAGTTTATCATTTCGTGACCAGGTAATACTAACAAACTATAAAACATATTTTTTTTTAAATGAATCTATTGAATACATATTACAGTCATATCACATAATGTATTACATACATACCTATTTTTGTAATATATAATATATAATAATAATCCCATCTTAATTATTCGGATTTTGATTTATCTGTCTTTTACTGCCTTGTATAGAATTTTTCTTATAAATTTCTTTTTCATATATTTTGGAGTAATATATTGTAAAATAAGCAATCGAGTGATTGAAAGATACTTATATTCGCAATGCAAGGATGCTACTTCAATTAAGAAAACAGGAATAGGAAGACGATGTTGTTTAGTCGACTTTCAGATTTTTAAAAATAAAAATAATGTTCAACGTTGGACTAATTGAAAAACTCACCTATATATTAAGAATTTCAAAACATAATTAGTATTTATTTTGATTGTCCATTATTTTCTCTCTTTGATTAGTCGTGTTCATATAGCTCATTGAATAGTTTGACCCTTAAATATTCTACTGTGTAATAATCCTAATGCATGATCGATAAGTTTAAGTTTAATACTAGACTTGACTCACTCATTCAGTTGTTTCACAAAAGTAAACTCCAAAACAAATTAATGTTACCATATGACCGATGTCGATTTTCATAGATGAGTCTTTGGTGTAGGCTCTCTTCAACTTTTGCCTAAAGAGTCACTCTACTATAAACGTTGAATTTTCTCTGCTTATTACATTCCAACCACTACCAATAATGAAGTTTCTTCTATTTATAAGTCAACGACACTCACTACCGACACTAAAATTCCCATTTTATCATCAGTATCAAAAGATCGATCGTTGTCAATCTAGCTACAAAGTCTCAACTATAGATAGAACCGCCACTGTTGGTTTTATAAATGGTCCGCATTTCGTTGGATTTTTTATTTGACAACTGAAATTTGCTTTTATACTTATGAGTGTAAAAAAAAGGGGCGTGCAAATCATTTTTCGTCGAACATTTTTTTGACATTTTCGACCAGCAATTACTAGCTGGAGACTAAACCTGATAGATACGGTAGGTGTGGAAGCAATTCAAAGCCAAATTCGTGCAATTTAGACATATTAGCCAACAACTTGTTATTTGACGCACTGTCTTGGTAAAAAACGAATTTTTTTTTTCATATGAGGCCGTTGTTTCGTGATTTCCTCTTATTAATGCACCAGTAGGGGTATTAATGCATTTAAATTTTTCAAGCTTATCAACAAATTTTTCTCGCGTATCCCATAACCTTATTTATTTTGCTTCAACTGTTCCAAATAGTTCTTAGATTCATCACACGTGTTGGTTTTTAGTGAACTCTCATCAACAGCAGTGCCCACTTCGAAAAGAGCTTTCTCATAGACATGTCCGTTTGAAATCTTTAAAGTGTCAGTTATTCACTTCTGCAGATTCGCTATACGGTTCACCAAAACCGCAGAGTATGGAATCTTGTTTATTTTTTTTGATGTTTTTCGGTATTATCAACTCTTTCAGTATTTGTACAACTGCGTTTTTCCTACCAAAAAGGTATAATAAATTAAAACTCGTATTTAATTTGAATCCATTGTTCTACAAATATAAAAAGTACCGTTAGTAAGACAGCTATAACTAAAAATTGTCATTTAGCCGTACTGCCAGTGAATGGCCAATTCTACGTACTTACTGATATGCTTTATCGGATGTTTTTTTCACTGTATGAGAACTATCGATAACGATAATTGTGGTTTGACATCTGAGAATGGCACCTGTATAATAATAATAATCATAATAATCAATTTATTATGAATGTCATGGCGTCGAGCCATACTGACAGAATATTTGCTTCCAAAAATTAATAGTGCTAATAAGACGGCGCAACTTGCCATACAGCGCGCTTAACAATCGATTTATTACAAAATAATTTGGTAGGCGGTAACAACTTTATTTCCAGAAGTGGTCCTATTAACTGGCCCTCTCGTTCGAACTGTTTAATGTCTCTCAATTAGTTTATATGCCGTTATGTAAAGTCTTTGGTTTATGTCGACAAACCAACAACTCTTGCCACCATTGACACCCAAGAGTCACATTTATTGCAAAAAATAGTCAAAAATTGCATTAATCGAAAAGACCATGTAGCCACGGTACATGCCATGAAATTATCTAGCAGGTTATAAAAAAAAAAATTTTATTATTTCTGTCTTGTGTACAAGGTTTTTTCTTGTATTATCATTTTGAGATATCAAGCAGCTTTAAAAACATTCAATATTGTCGAATGTTTTGTTCCAATATTGCCCATAAATTATCAATGACATTCATGTCTGCACTCTACTCCGGCGGTGTCGTCAGATGGGGGCAGTTCCAAATCAACCAAGACTGTACGATGTTGGTCTTATGTGTTGGGTCATCGTTTTGGCAGAAGCGAAATGTTTTAGGAATTTCAAGTATCATGGCACTCAGGAGTAAATTTTTTTTTCAAAACGTTGAGGTACATTGTTTTGTTCATGTTACCATCAATAAACTCCAGATTCCAAAAGCCGGCGGCTGATATACAGGCCCAAACCATAATACTTCCACCGTACTTTACTGTAGCCTATAAATTTCCTTTATTGAGTTCAGTATTAGCTTTTCGCTACACGTAAGTCATGCCATCCGAGTTAGAAATATTGAATTTAGACTCGTCTGAGAATATGACGCTGTTCCAGAAGAACTATTAACGCAATATCATCCGTATATGTAAAAGTCTCCCAAACCGCTCTTCTTTGTTTTTGTAGCAGTTCATCGACCACTACATTCCAGAGGAGGGAAGATAATACGCCACTTGGGGAGTATCTCTATTTATTCGTCTGTGTGTTGTTAATGAACCCATATTTGCTTCAATAATATTGCCAGTTAGTAACTGATCTACGAAAAAAACTGAACTAAATTCCTTTAAATTGAAAGATTTTCTAATGGTAAGAGTGAAGCGCTGTCCCCGTAGATTTTCCTTTGATGTAGGCGTGTTGTGAGGGGGACTAAAGATTGGGATTAATAACACGCCTTATTTGGAAGTCTATGATTCTTTCTAGCAATTAAAAAAAACTATTTTCCTACAGTCTAATCTTTACTGAATGGAAATTTTTGGCTTTTCTTGTATAGTTGCAATTTTTCACTTTAGAACATTTATATATTCTTGGAGGAAAAATTTTCAGACTATTTTTTTATAGGTATGGTATCTCAAATGATATATGTGGATTTCTCAAAGCGTTAACACTCTTTATAAGCATGTAGACATTATTCAATTAACTACAAATTTTCCTACTCTTTACTTAGGTTTACTCTTCGGTACAAATGGATCTACAGTAAAATTCAGATTATAAAGTATTCAGCTATTATCAGAAATCGATTTTTGATTAAACACCGTCCTATTTTAATTTTCTTCATCGTTATTAGATATTAGGATAACATCCTTCGAACGAGGCGACTATCACGAAAATTTTCATAAGAAGATTTTTAAAATATTATTATAATACTTGATCTCTTCCTACTTTGAATCCGTAACAGTTTTAGAAGGCTAGAAGTTTTAGAAGAAGGCCTTTTCTTAGCGACAAAGAAGTTACTTAGCGACAATATCGTTGCGCAGCTCTTCTCTCTGGTTTGCAGACTGAAAAATTTTTTTATTAACTCACGGCATGCGATAGTTTGTTGTCCGTCTTTTTCAATGGCTTGAGGCTCTCTTCCTTAATGAGAAGAACAAATGACTCACTATTTTTTTAAGATACTAATCTTTGCTTTCAGTCAATATAAAAGGACTGATTGCAATTATTTTAAGCCAAAAGTTCTTTCAAGTGTCCTGAGTTATGGCAATCTCATTTTTAAGTGTATTTTACGAACCTTAATCACTACATATTTACCCTATAACTAGTATTACGCAAACGACTACAAATCGTTACAATCCTAATTCGACTTTGCTTCACTTGTCAGAACAGGTATCTAGCCGTTAATAGTTTAATCTATCAATGCTGTCTGCATATAATACCGAGCTACTTTCTTGTAATTTCCACAATTTTTTGGACGAACTAGGAGCAACACTATTCCGAATATCACATGTGTTTTAAGTCGTTTGAAAATTTATTCAAACCCAACACTTTCAGCTCTGTCTACTGAATAAATTATATAAGCTGTCATTGATAACAATATTCTGGCTAAACGCTAGCAACTTTTATACTGAAAATGTTGATTGGAATGTTTATTTAAAATTGGTTTTCAACCCTTTTTATCTACCTGTAACCAAATCAGATATTCAAGCATAGGTTTTTTAAAACATCTTTATTATAAGACAACTTTATAAAAATCATCAGTATGTAGAGGTGTGTTGAATGAAACGCTTGTGTGTGTCTTTTAAAACTCAAAAGATTTATTATCACATTTACTAAGTTACACTAAAATTAATATGTTGGCTTGTCGCCTTTTCTCTACATACTTTTCTTTTCTTCTAATAGCAACGTTCGTATTATTCATTTGGACGTTCGTTCATGTACATGGATGTTATATGGCTGCCACACCACTCCCCCTTACAGTTGAGTGAGAAACGTACCCTGCGACCATACCTGGATATATAGTCTTTTGTCAACCTTTTAGTCTTGCCATTGTCCATGTCCTTCTTGGCGGCAGGACTGTTGTTCGCGATATCGTTTACTCGATCAACGTCGTCACTCACGGTGCCCTGAGAATCGTTAAATATGAAAGCTGCTTTGAACCGGTCAACGCTGATATTGCTCTTTCGGCCATCTACGTCGCTTTTAAAAATTTTTTCGCTTCTCTCAAGCACTGGATACGAACCTTCGTATGGCGGTTACAATCGTTTGCGAACCATTGAGTTCTTAACAAAGACGAACAGTGATGTAAACAGATGTTTTTCAAATAATATGTTCTGTTTTGCATAATTGGACATACTTGTTGGTTGTAGATCCCTCATTCGCTTAAAAAATTCGGCAACATCATTGCTTTGCAGTGTTTTATCGCCATGTTCAGTAACGAGGAATTCACCTGGTAATCGTAAACTGCAACCGAAGGTTAACTGAAGTGGAGATGCGCCAATGTCTTCATTAACACCATTTCGAAAACCTAATAAAATTAGCGGTAATGCATCGACCCAATTATTAGTTTGATAGCATTTTATGCCGCCTTTGAGTGAGCCATGAAATTAGTCTATGATGCCGTTAGATGCCGAATGGATGGATTGTCTAAGATTTTTGTCAATTCGTTAAACAATGATGATTCGAATTGACCTCGACCTTGGTCTGTAGTGACTCGTAACGTTGTACTAAATCTTGCTACCCAATTGCTATAAAATGCATGAGCGTCTGCTTGTTTGGTTACGTCTGCAAGAGAACAAACTTTTGTCCATCGTGTGTATGGATCTATCATCGCCAAGCAATAACGAAAACCTTTGCACACGGGTAGAGATCTGATTAAATCGATGTTGATATGCTCGAATCTTGCTTCGGGGTATATAAACTCTGCGTTCTGCTGTCAAGCTAGTTCTGCATAATCAGATGCGTCAATTCGTGACATAGCATCTGGGACACGATTTAGATTTCCTGGCAAATATCTTATGTCCGACAAAAAATGGCCAATATAGTTTAGCTGACGTGGTTGTCTGGTTGACGCCTTTTCTAAGCTCTGTTCGAGAACTGACGTCCGTCTAACATATGCTTGTAGTGTTTAACGGCTCTGTAAGTAATTAGTAACTCCCTGTCATAGGTGCTATACTTTGGTTGGGTGGCATTTAAACGTTTGGAATAGAATCCCAGTGGTTACCAGTTATTATTTATTAGCTGCTGTAAAACTGCACCTGTTGCTATGTGGGATGCTTCAACTGCTAATGCCGGTGGTGCTTTAGATATCAGGAAAGTCAACAGTTCACTTTCAACTAGTTGTTCCTTGCATTTTTCAAAAGCTTTTCGCGACTCATTCAACCAGGCAATTTTGGTCGTGTCTTTCTCTTTATTGGCATTTAGCATTTTTGAAAGTACAGCCTGTTGCTCGGCGACATGAGGTAGACATCTTCACTATACCCAAGAAGCCTTTGAGGTCGCATTTTCTATCTGGCAATTTATATTCGCCTTGACGCGTTCATGTGGTGGTTTAACACAGTCTTTGCTAACCGTAAAACTCAGAAATTTTAGTTACGGTTTTCCAAATACACATTTCGATAGCTGTATGATTATGCCATTCTCTTGTAGTTTGGCGAAAACTATTCTTAGGTGCGAACGATGTTCGTCCGCGTCTCCAAGATATCAATATGCCATCCAGATATGCCCAGACAAACTCAAACTCTCTCAAAATCTGATCCATGAAGCGCTGAGAGCTTTGACTCGCGTTTCTGAGACCAAAAATCATTAACACAAATTCGAACATGCCAAATGGAGTCGTTATGGCAGTCTTTGGTATATTAGAGTTTTCAACTGGAATTTGATGTTACGCTTTGCGTAAATCAATTATAGAGAATATCTCGCATCCGCCGAGGGTGTGAGTTTTTCTCACTTTTGACAATTAGTTCCTCATATTGTTTGACAAAAGTGAGATAAATCGTTCGAAAATAGTAAGTGAGAAAGTTATATTAACGAGCCGCTGCTCTAGGTTCATTCATCAATCCGTAGAGGAACTTTACGATCAGTGAATATTTTCGTGCAGTAAACTTTCGTCATGAAAAATTTTAATCAAAATTGGTTGTCACGCAATCAAAGAGTGTTGCTTTGTAATTTTTTTCTTCGCACAGTAACAGTCTTTTGTTGTGTCTATCTATTAGCTCTATATAATAATGTGTCGGTATTTAAATCTGCTATTGCTTTGATTTCTGCAATATACTGGGCAACCACTAATGTCTTGGATTCCTACATGGATTCCTACATTTCTTTATGCTTGACAATATTATCCAATATTAATTATTTTAAGACAAGTTATTATTTAGTGAAATTTTTTTTTATTGTTTTCCCTGTAAATATTTCTTATACGATGATTAATCGTTCACATAAATTTTATCTTCAGATATGCAAAAGTTTTAAAAATCTATATATTGAACATAGTTTTTCGGGACTATTTCTTAAATATAAGTTAAATTGAAAACTAAGTTCTAGTTATTATCATTATTATATCAATAGGTTATTTTGCTGGAAGAATCTTGGTCAGAACTTTTTATGCTGAACGCAATACAGTGGTGCATTCCCTTGGAACCAAAACTGTGTACATTATTTTCAGTCAGTGAGCATTGCAGTAATGGTGATAATATAAATGAATGTGGAATGACTAAAGAAGAGGTACATTATTTGAAACAAACATTAAATTCTGAAACCATTTGAAATGTTATGAAATAAATTTAAAAAATAAAACAGAATTTGTATAATGTTCATTATACGATACTAACAAGAATTAGAATTAGTAAAATTTTAAATTCGTCAGGCTAAAGGACATTTTTAGTGTTCATATAAAGTCAAAAATAAAAAATGTTTCAAAATTATAAACACGACTTTATCTTTTTGTTTCTAAAAATTGCATTACCCTTTATTCTTATTTCATGTTAATTTGGCCAATCACAAAACTTAATATGTCCCAGAAATATATTGTGAGATGCAGAAACACCCCACAGTGACGTATATCTTAAAATGCAATCTCAACCAAATCCATTTTTAATTTAGATTAATCTTAGAAGAAAGATGAAAATGTCTGCCATACGTAGTCGTACATATAAGCACAAACTTTAGTTAAGTGTTCTTTTAAATAGTTAACCATTTATTCGCAACAACTGTAATGCTAAACACGTTGCTAAATCGGCCATAATAATCGCAACATGTAACGAGCGTTCTAAAATAAGCAGCGTCCATGGCGAATATGTATTTCTATATTGTATCACATTTTTGTCATCTAGAAAATGTATAATAATCAATAAGAGAGAATATCGAACAATGAACAATTATATTCTAAAAAAATATTTCAATTCGGATCGCAAAATATTTTGCTATTGCGCCACTGTTTTCTTTCTGTAACTAAGTTCATTACATGTATGCATTTGTGCCATGCAAATTGCAGTTACATGTTATTATTCGTACCGACATCTAATTTTACTAAGATACGAGTTGCATTAGTGAGATGTCGTGCGTAAAAAGTATTTATGGTCGTCTTTTTTTTTTTTTTGTTAGCGCGTGAGCGCAAATTATAGTGATACTGGAAAATTTTCCCTTAATACGGATTGTTCACTAGTGTGATTCGCTGAACTGATTTTGATAGTATCTTGTTAACCACAAAACTGCATCCGAATGCACGACTATTTGCATGGCAGCTGTAGTAGACACAAAAGTTAAAAATATATTATGAAATTAATTTATAAAACAAAATATGATATATTTGATTTATTTTATTTACTACAAATATTATTATTTTTATTTCTGTTATAATCAGGTCATATATTTATTCACATAATTTATTCTTATTTTATTTTTTATCGTGATTAAGATCATAAATATAATATTTCAAGGTTAACAAAAGACTATTTTAAGAAGTAGCTAGCGTTGCATATGCTAGCGCTAATGTACGATAACAACAACAGCAACTAAATAAAGCACTCGGGGTTGATGGAATACCAAATCTGACACTAAAAATTACCATAGAAATCAATGTCGAAAGTGTTTGACACATGCATAAAGAAAACAGAATTTCCCTAGATATGTTAGATATAATACAAAGGTTGGTGCTTATATTGAAAAACAATTACGTTCAAGATGCATCGGGCCACCACCCGTTAATGTATGATTGATACGACCGGTAAACTACTGAATGAAATAATCAGCCAATGACTCGTCTTGAACAGTAACGCTTTGTCAGACCGACAATTCGGTTTTCGTGAGGCACACTCCACAATAGAAGTCGTAGAAGCCATCATAACGATAGCAAAAGATACCATTGAAGCAGACCGCTGGCTGGAAGGATATAAGGAATACTGTGTCATCATTACATCGGACGTCAAAAATAAATTTATCTCGGCAGTGTTCCAGACTACACTACCAGAACTCGACAGAAAAAACGCCCTGAAGTATCTAATAGAAATTATTGTCGACTTTTTTAAAGACATGGTGCTTTTATACTACACAAACAGAGGCAAGTAGTAATGTATACCAAGTAGCAATAGGAATCAGTATTGGGTTTAATATTATGGAACGTTATGTATGACGGATTGCTGAGAATTGAGCTCTCAGAAAAAGCAGAAATCATTAGTTTCGCCAATGACATCGCGATGAAGGACCTTGTTGCTGTAAAGTATGTGATAACAGCGTTTGCATTATCGCGTATACTGACCAATATAGGCATAATACAGAATAATCAGAATAATACAGTAGAAGCAGTTATTGACAAATATAGTTAAGTCTATTGCTATGTTTGCGGCTCCCATATGGGCAGATGTAATGAATAAACAGACATACAGGTTTGGAATAGACGCAGCCTACAAGAGGTGTGCGCTCAGAGTTGTTTCCGCTTTCCGCACAGTGTGTACTAATGCGACAATGGATGCATAAATTGAAAATGAAAAACATGCAGCTAAAAGAACTGGGCTCACGAACTACAGCGACCTCAAAGAAGAAGCATTGATTAAGTGAAAACAGAGTTGGGATACTTCCACGAAAGGAAGAGGGACACATGAGATCATACCGAAAACAAATTGTTCGACCAAAAGAAGGCAGCAGAGAGAGCTAGATCTGCAGAACTAGGTGATAGCCATCGCTGAATCACAAATCTCCAAAGTACTGCTTAAATGTGGTTCTGAAAGGATGTATGGTAAGAAAATGTACGGCGTTAGGGTGGAGATTAGTAAGTAGACGCAACGTATGCCAAAGAGTAAGTTCTGGTTGCAAAGCGGTCTCGGTCTCATAAAGTTCACATAAGGAACCAGAAATGGTTAAAAAATCATGTGCCATACTTAATTTCGTCCACACAATGGCTTTCGAATTCGCCAGATCCAAATCCGATGGACTATTTCATTTGGACCATTTTGGAGAGTAAAGTGAGGACTAAAAGAAAGCCATTGTTCAGTAATGGGCCAAAATACCGGAAGATCACATTTGTAAGCCATAGTCAAGGCTAAATATGTAAGCTATGTAAAGTAAAAATATTTACGCATATTTGCTATACTATATGATATGTGAGGTGGGAATTCTAAATAAAAAAACAATGATGTGTTTTACCAATAGAAGCGCAGTCTAACGTGACGTGACAAATGACTTTGTTAATGATTTTGTTATTCAAGGCCGGATGATGTGATCTTCTCTTCAATCATGTTTGTATCTATCTAATACCTGATATGACACAAAAAATGGTTATTTCAGCACATAAAACTTACATTGTTATACTAAATTATGTAATTTTAGCTGTCAAACAAAAATTCTAAACTGAAATCAAAAAGCAAAAGTATCGATTCACACGATTAATTATTGTAATTTGTTTGTCAGATTTATTGTTTGTCCACACTTTTTATCTACTTTTATAAAATATTTACTTTGTATGAAAATTGCATTTATTCCTTAAAACTATACATAATAGCATAATGTTATACGGCGTTTACATTGGCCGAAAATGGCTCATTTTGGTCAAAAATCGAAAATGAGTATCGAATGGGTCATTAGGCCTTTTCGGTGGCTCGCAAGTACGGCAAAAAATGCATGTTGGCCTATGTTGGCCACGCGAGTCATTGGCATCACTGTTGCAATCTGTCAAATGTTTTGTTTTGACAAACAGCAAATCTTGTATACGTGCATATAAATCAAATATATTTTTATAAAAATATTATAAAATTAAAATGAACAAGAAATTAAAAGGAATGGTAAGAATATTGGAAATTTAAAAATAAAACACTAAGATAAGTAAATTTTTGTAGGTACTGTCGATGTTGGGAGAAGAAAGCAACGTTTTACTTGAGTGTATTTCTATAAAAAAATTTTTTACGCATGTAAACTACAAATTAAATGAAATAAAATAAATGTTACTTGGTAATAACTAACATAATAAAAAATTCAATGTGCTTAATACTTACGATTTCTCCATTCTTATTATTTCTTCGTTACTTTTCAAGATTTTTCAAATTTTTGAATTCTGTTTGAATTTTTATTTCCTCAATTTTTGACATTTGATTGCACTATTCGTTGGAATTTTCAATGAAGGTTCACAATAGTTCGCTTATTGCGTTGGTAACATTTTTTTTTTTACTGGCCGATGTGGTTGGCCAGCATAACTATGCTGGCCGATGTAGAGAAAATATTGTTGTTGTTTTGCGTACATTGCGGCCAGTATAGGCCTGCATAGGCCAACAACTTGCTGTTTTTTGCCGTACTCGCGAGCCACCGAATACGCCTATTCTTGCATATAAAATTTCAAGCACAAAAATGAGCAATTTTCTCACATTCTGTATGAATGACGTTCGAATGCATTCCACATACGTTCCAAATGCAAAGGAATCCATTGAACATACCCTAAATGAAAATGACAGTTTGAAAAAGCTGTTTTTAACATATTTACAAAAAAAGGTAAACAAATGTTTGGTGGTTGCATTTTCTTGAAAACGATGCACCTCTTTTTAGAACTTTTACTTCCCAAAAAGTAATTAATCGAAGTTAAAAATATGTTTTAAGTTTCTAATGTAAGGTTTGAAGGCATATTTAACCTTCATGCAACATTTTTTTGGCACATGCCAAAAATCAAATCAACATGCAAGTTGAAAAATCAGCTGTTGAAATGAGAACAAATGAAATAGAACGAATGTAAACACTTTCATATGGCTCATTCAAAATGAGCCATTTTCGGCCAATGTAAACGCCGTATTATACTGCACAATACTGTACTACGGTGAACTGTCTATGTTAAAATCAACTTGATTTTGAAGAAATTATGATTCTGTTTTATTTTCAGTTGTCAGAATGTTCATACAAATCTTTTTAATTTAAATTTGCTTTGCTTTCAAAATCAAGAATAATTTGAAATGATAACTATAATTACAATCAAAAGACTAGTGTGAATCCAGTATTAGAATTAACGCTAATGAAATACTCATATTTGATATTTGAATTAAATAGTTAATGAGTTAAAAACAAATTGTTAAATTTTCTTCTTATAGGAAATTGCTTAATGTATTTTTAACTCACTTAACAAATTTTTTTTTTTATGGCAAAATTCTTCTTTCTGCGGCACTTAGCCAATATTACGAAATAACTCGAGATTTTCGGAATAATTTCAACTCCCCATTATGCACAAAAATTTAAACAATTCTTACGGTATTCATAAACTATTGTTAAAAACCATTTAAAGTATGCAATTGAATTAAATACAATACAATACGCCCTTACAAGCATTTAAGAGTAAAATAAAAATTATTTCTGAACATTTGTCATATTTTATATTAGAAACATATATTTAAATAAACCACAGTGCTTTAATTGTATAAATGTTTTTTTTTTTTTCGTTTTAGACTGCAACAAATATTCGATCGTTATATAATATATTTTGTAAATATAAAGCTGTACTCGTGGATCCTGCAGAGTTCGCCTGCCTAAAAGCTATTGTTCTTTTTCGTCCAGAAACAAGAGGTTTGAAGGACCCTAACCAAATAGAAAATTTACAGGATCAAGCCCATGTAAAAATTGATTTTATATTTGAAAACATTCAATTTATACTTTCTTTATAGGTTATGCTGTCCCAACACACAAAAGCAAACTTTTCTGCGCAAATAGCGCGGTTCGGTCGATTGTTACTTATGCTTCCTCTGTTAAGAATGTTAAGTTCTCAGAAAATTGAACGTTTATTTTTTCAGCGAACTATTGGAAACACACCTATGGAGAAAGTTTTATGCGATATGTATAAAAATTGAGTAGTATTACATAATTGTCAATATAATTTTATCCATACTTTGATTAAAAAAACAACCAATAAAAAAAAAAATAAACTTAATTTCGAATTTACTACAAATTAACTTAAAACATATGTAGAATAAGATACAAATATTTTTAGAACACCATCAACTCATAATAATTCATAGATATTTATAGATACCATATTTTAATTAATTTTAATTTCTCTTTAGACATTAACCATGATTTGTTTTTGTTGCATATGCATATGTTTTAGCACGGACTCATATAGGTATGTACGTGTGCGACAAAAATAAAACACAGCTATTAACAGAAAATATTTGTATATGTATAATATATATATAATTTCAATAGTTCGAAATACATACTGTGAAATATTTTTGATTATAAAAACAGCTGGTTAAAATATAGAAGTTATGAAATCCAAAAATGTACATGGGTAAATACAACTCACAAAATACTTGGGCACTCTCGAATCACTATGCTAGAGAAAAAAAAATACAATTGATCACCGGAAAAAACTGTACAACGCGTGAACCAACTATATTTCACGACGTTACTCTTTTTGGGTTTTTAATACCTTTTATGGTAGGTCCGTAAAGTAAAAAACACCATCAAAAGTGCATATTAATCAAAACATTCTAAGGATGTACTTTAATTGCGTTAAAAAATCTGAAGATGAATTGATCAATTACCACATATATTATTAAAATATATGATACAATTCGTCACAAAATATAGTGCTTTAAGTTAATGCTAGTTGATTAGTTCACTGTAATTAGTCAGCTCAGTCGTTCTAACTTAAAGACTGAATTAGATGACATAAGCTTAGCGAAGATTGAAACCGTTAATGACACAACGCAGAAACACTATTAATTATGATGGAGTACACACAACGCATAACAACATAAATACAAAAAGAGCACAAGAATAATCCGATCATCAAAAAGCTCGCACTAAAAGAAATGCAAAGTAATACGACATTTACACTGGCCGAAAATGGCTCATTTTGGTCAAAAAACGAAAATGAGAAGCGAATAAAAAATTTCAAGCGCAAATGCGATCCATTTCATCGAATGTTTCAAATACAAAGGAATACATTGAACATACCCTAAATAAAAGCTCTTCGTGGCATTTTGACAGTTTGAGAAAACTGTTTTTGAGATATTTACAAAAAAAGGTAAACAAATGTTTGGTGGTTGCATTTTCTTGAAAACGATGCACCTCTTCTTAGAACTTCTACTTCCCAAAAAGTAATTAATCGAAGTTAAAAATATGTTTTAAGTTTATATTTTAAGGTTTGAAGGCATATTTATTCTTCATGCAAGATCAACAGACAAGTTGAAAAATCAGCTGTTTGAAATGAGAGCAAACGAATTACAACGAATGTAAACACTTTCAAATGGCTTACTCAAAATGAGCTATTTTTGGCCAGTGTAAACGCCATATAAGTCCTCAATTTTCGTTTTAGCTGATAAATATTAGCTGCAAATTTTTTATGTGTACTTAGGAGCAAATAATCGAATGCATTGTTTTTGTAGAGTAGAACGGATCAGCTAATTGGTTACGGTTCAATTAGTTCATTCTTAAATAATTGTTGTAAAATAAAGTACTGAAATTATAACGCATAAGAAAATTAATGTGTATAGTCAGAGTATTATTAAAGTAAACAGTTGTTTTAATAACACGTATTTACATATAGTGACGAACATATTTTTGGCACAGCTAGCAAATTGAACTATAGCATTGTTTGTACCGATTTTTAATTACAAATTTTTTTACCTAAAATACTTAATCTGCAATTAAATTCATTTTAGTTCATTATATTATCACTTAAATTAAATTTTTAAAATTAATAAACCAAAAAATATTAAATTAGGCTGAACAAAACTATTAGCACATTTGAAAAAATCAAAAAATAATTAAAAAAAATATTTACGTTGACAATTAATATTTAGTGGGAAAGCTCTTCTGTTTAATAACAGATACTATTCGCTTTGACTTCGAAGAAACCAATATTTGTATGGTTTTGGGTCCAATATTTTGCCACTCTTCAGCAGTGTCACCCTTATTTCTGCCTTTGTGCTTATAATAAACTTTTTTGAACGTCCATCCAATTCTTCCCCCAAATGTTCAAAGGGGTTGAGATCTGGAGATTGAGGGGGATGTGTTTTGCATGATATGTAAGTCACATACGCACAAAATAAGCCGTACCTTACGACCAAAAAAGAACCAGAGGCCTGTTTTTGAATTCCCGCGCTTATCCAATCGGTAAATTTTTTTATTTTCACGCTGGCAACACTATTATACACATTCTGTCAAAGTTTACCGCACATCGTTCGATTAGTTTTTGTTTTGCGTCTATACAAAAAGTCGAAATATTTTCGTTTGCCGATTTTTACCTTATGACCTCTATGGTATCAAAACGCGTTCCTCGCAATGGCAATTTGAATCGGGGGAAGAGGAAAAAGTCACACGGGGCCATATCTGGAAAGTACGGTGCTTGGTTAATGATAAGAATTCAAAAATTAAAAATCTTTTCTTTCTTTTTTTTTTTTGATCACAAGGTATGTTTCAGATCATTGTCATATTGAATGCTAAACGTGGCTAGTAAACTTAAGATATCGGCCCTTTCTTTGACATTTCTCTTAATGATGACTATATATTTTTTGTTCATCAAAAAATGAACAATGAATTCCAATTCGCCGACACCTGTAGCGGACATACACCTTCATATCATCGCAATGTTTCACAGACATAGCAGGATTATTTTTTTTGCAATTCGGTGTTTAATTTTCTTCAAACCTCAATTTTGTTCATCCTAGAAGGGTGCATTGCTCCAAAAGCCAATTGGCTTTCTTAAGTACTCCTTTGCTGATGGTGGACCTGCAAAATAAACGCTTTTCGTCTAGTAACACGCCAACTATAATTAGGATCATAAGGTATCATTTTGGCCATTATGCTATAAATTTCTTTACGAACTTTCGCTTAACTTTAGCTGCGATATGGGTTAAAGATAATTTTAGGTTGGCCTTCACCTTTCCTATTAATTTGTAGTTTTACAATCGCTCAAAGTTTTAGGTTGGTCTATCTGCTTTGCATTTTGCAATGATGTTGCCATCTTAGAACGCTGCACAATGCTCCAATTGATGTAGTGGCTTCTATCCATCATTTCCCTAATAACGGCATAACATTTGCCTTGATGGTACTGATATAGAATTATTTTCCGCCAAGTTTCGGTGGTTTCTTTATGTTCACTGCTCATTTTGTGGAAAATGGATTAAGTTTGTTCAAAATAAATAAGGCATTATGCCGTTTATAGGTATAAACTAAACCACCATGTCATTTATAATGTAGAAATAACAAGTCTTTTCCAGAAAAAAGACGACAGATGGATGAAATTATGTCAAAACAGTTAATTATAATGCAAATGTGCCAATAATTTTGTTCAGCCTAATTTAGTACTTTTTTAGTTTTTTAATTTTAAAAAATTAAATATAAGAGATAATATGATTAAATAAAAAATTTTTTGAAGATTTTGAATAGAAATGAGACAACAACAAAAATTTAATAAATTTTTAAAATTTGGCTGATTATACAATATTGTTTCAAGTATTGCTAAGTACTCATCATCATTGGTCCTAGGAAATATTCAAATTTTTTAATTAGTTTATAGTTCGTGTATTATTTGTTTGGACTGCAGGTACCAGGCTTAGAACTCATGCCTGTCAAATTAGAAGCGATGACTAATGTTTTTCCAAGCAACCAAGGCTGCATAAACTTTCAAACTTTGATTCAATCTGCTTCCTCGGAGAGGTATGCAGATCTGAGGTCAATTATTGCTTAGTCGAGTTAAAAAAGAGTATAAATACTTTAGTGCACTAGCTCAAAATAGCTTCAACATAATAATAAATGTAAATTGGACTAAACTCAACGACTTTAAAGCAGCTATCTGAGAGTATGTATATATTCCTGCCTAATATATCATCTACATTCAAACAAGCTATAGCTTCCCTAATGGCGATCACTTCCGCCTGAAAGACTTTACCATGATCTGGAAGCCTGACGTAGGAAGAATTGTTCAATTCTTTTGAGAAAACTCCACTGCCTACACCACTACTTGAAGGCACCATCTGACATCCATACCTGTCTAGGTGGAAATTTGACGTTAAATTTTCTGTCAAAGTTGAGAGTGGGAGAGGTGTAGTCGACGTTTTTAGGAGTAAAATTGATAAGATTAAGAATGCAGACATGTCCATAGTCACTGGCTCTTCATTGTAGCTTTTAGCCTAAGAGCAGATGAGACTGCCATTTGTTTACTGATAAAGCCCATTGCCAGTAACTGAAGCAACACATCTAGTGCAATGGATGGTGTAGTGCATAGCGCAACGCTTATACAGAGTTCAGCTCTACGCTGGACCCTGTTAAGTACCGAATAATACGAAGATTTATCAAGAGCTGTCCATCATACCGTAATACCATATAGCAATATGGGCCTAATAACAGCTATATAGAGCCATTGAGTGATGTGCGGTTAAAGATCCCACTTCTTACCAATAGCTTTTTGGCATAGTAGGATCGCAATATTAGCTTTCCTATCACGTTCTGAGATGTTTTTCTTCAATACGAGTTTCCTACCGAAAACTATACCTAGAAACTTAACTTCCTCCTTCACATGTAACACAGAACCTCGTAGAGAGGGTAGAAAAAGATTTGGGATCGCATGCTTTATGGTGAAAGCTACGATTTCAGTTTTTTTGGGATTTACCCCAATACCACATTTTTGTGTCCATTTTTTTAGGATATTAAGACCGTTTTACAGAATATCCCTAAGAGTGGTAGTACATTTTCCGGTGACTGTTATCGCAATATCATTAGCATATGCAATAGTTTCGCAGCCCTCATCCTTCAGTTTTATTAACAGTTCATTTACCACTATATTGAAGAAGAGAGGGGAGAGAACTCCCCCTTGGGGGGTACCTCTATTCACTCTTCTACG